CCTCCAACTGTCTAATAGCGTAGGGAGTCTGTTGAATGACCGGGAACCTGCCGACCTCCCTGTTCAGTCTGATCTTATTGCAATCCATAGCGAATGAGTAGGCCAGGGCGGTTACAATGAGATTATATACCAGGGTGGACAGGTATGTAATATCTCGGAATAGCGCCGAGAATGTTGATATAGAGGTCAAGGTCATTAGCACGGCAAATGCCATAGCCATTCCGTAGTGCTCCTTATAGGTGGCTACTAAGCCAATAGAGGGCACCACCATTAATACTATGCCCACCACTACGATTAGTAGAATTAGTAGACCCTGGTCACAAAAAAGGATTTTTGTTGATTTTTTAAAATGCACATTATTATGGTGTAGTAGACACTATTATACATGAACAAAAGTTACGTAACACAAAACAACTTTGGATTTATATTTAGATTAAAAATTATTTTACATTACATACTAGTTTAAATTTTAAAAATTGTACATTAAACACTATCAAGTTAATTGATAAATAAAAGTTTAATTTACCATGGCTTTACCAGTCATATCCTGTGTGGATACCAACACAATAAATATAGTGACAAATATGACAGCAATTATGTACCCAATTACGCATAATGCAAACAAGGTCCACTTTTTGCATTTAAATGAACTGGTCTCCCGAATTGGTAGCCCGTAACCTTCACTATTGAAATAATTCATAATGTGCTTGCTCAAATTTAATAATAAATCATTAAAAAACTTAAAAAACTATAACCTTAAGCATAGATAATACAAGTTTTATAGCAAAACATTTGATATAAATAATAAGTTATGATTTTATTTATTAAATTTATTGATATTTTCTTGACATTTACAGCAAAATACTATGGAAACAGAATTTATTATATTTGTCACATAAATCGGATTTACAATTAATATAACAAAACATTGAAAAACATTAGTAACATTGAAAATATGCACGGAATTAATTAGCATTACAAGACTATTATAAGTTTGAAAATACGGTATTTTTCTATCAATATCCAATTATTACATAATGTAAGCTAAGCTAATATTTCTACGAAAATATTTATTAAACAACTTTTTTCAAGACATTTTTATAAGTTACGAAAATCAATTACTTTCACAATATATAAATAAATTAAAATTATAATATTTAAAAAATATAAGTTAAAACTGTAATGAATAAAATAAATATAATATATTACATTTAACTATTTTATTAATATTTAATAATTTTGGAGCAACAGGCCCTCTGATCATAATGGCTACTATTTATCGGAGGACCTGTTGCTCTTTTAATTTTAATAAAAAATATACAAACATGAACATTTAAAAATTACATTTAATAAGTAATATTTATCTATTATATAATAATAGTTTATTAATTATAACTTTTTTAATAGGCACAAAGTTGTACTAAAATAAGTACTTAGCAATTAATAAGTATTTTAAATATTTACAATTTATTTAATAAAACTAGTTTTAAGAGCTTAAACAGCAGGGGCAGGTACGTCCAAAGTTGTCTGTCCAGCTTTAAATACAGAATTTTCAGGTTTTCACAGTTTCTCAACCCTTAACAATTTTGACCCTAACTGTACGCCTGGCCACTATAAACTACACCGTTATTATAGCCTTGAATGGGTACACCATCCACGGGACCAATCAATACCTATAATGCCGGTGTACTTCCAAACGGCATAACAAATTGGTTGTGTAGACCTATGGCACCGGTAACTAAAACTACCTGCCTATTTTTATTAATACGGTGGCAATCTAAAGCAAACTTATAGGCCAATGCTGTGAACGCTATTTTAATTAAGAGTCCTATTATGTAATATATATCTACTACCACCAGGTATATTGTAAAACTAGTTGTAACGGTCAGTAGTAGTGCAAATGTAGTGGCCAGTCCAAAGTGCTGTTTATACGTAGCTAATAGTCCGATAGTTGGCACCACCAATACACCAATTACAGATACCGCAAGTGCTGCTATGTGAGTGCGCTAGTTATTAATTAAGTTTTTTAGTATTATTTAAAAATATATTAATATCTTACCGGGATACCTCCAGGTCTCATGGACATTTCAACTATAGAAAATATAATTAAAAATATACCGACAATAAAAGAAAGTACACACACTGTAAATAAGGTCCATTTAATGCAATTAAATGAGCTACTATGCTGGATGGCCATAATTAAAAAATATTATTTAATATAATATGGAAAAGCAAGATCTTTTTTGAAGTTAAATAAAAATGTTTTCTGAACAGATAAGTCATACCTTTAATTATACAAATAATTTGCTGGCTAATATTTAAGTGACATTTAGTAAAGCATTACTTTATTATTAAAATTTTATTAAGATGTACAAATTAGTATAAATATTAAAGTGTACTAGAAGTGCTTAATATAAAGCATGTGCGGTATTATGATTACAATTTTGTTTTTGTTTTTTATTTATATTTTATGTCATCTACTTTAAGATACTATGGTAACTATATTTATTATATTTATTATATAAATCGGATTTACAATTAATAACACAAAATATTATGTCACTATTAACATTGAAAATGTAAGCAATCAATTTGTATTACACGTGTGTCATTAAAATTGTAAACGTACTGTTTTAATAATGTTGTTATTGAATTCATTATATTATATTAGATTCATGTTTTGTAATTACATTTATATTACATTAAAATTAGAAAAATAAAATAAGATATCTAAAGTTTTTACGTGAATAAAACCTATTGTTTAAATGTTAGGACACATTTTAGTTTTATTTAACAGTTTTTTAAAAAGGGGAATTAAATTTTGATTAGAAATGTGTAGTAAACTACTCAATGCAATGTTCAGTAGTTTTAAATAGTGACATATTTATTGGTCAATATTAAATTGAGCTTAATGTTTATGTGAAAGTTTATTATATTTTATTTCTATTTATGAGTACAATATCAGTATTCAATGCAATTTCTATTGAAATTGAGTCTAAAATAAAAATAAGTAAATTAACGCTAAGTTTAAAATAGGTTTAAATAAAGTAATTATCGGAATACTTTACAAATATTACACTGACTTATTAATTTATTTTGATAAATTATATTTATAATTAATACGATAATTTTTAAGTTAACAATTTAACAATTTATTAAATTATATTTAATAGTTTCAAAAAATACCGGGATTAATATTTGAGAAAAAAAATAATACATATATTTCTTAAATAAATAAAAATCTAAACTATTAAATAACTAATAATTTTAGTGTTTTTAGAACCCAATTATACATAATTGACCAGAATAAAATATTTAATTCACACTTTTAAAATAAAACTTTATCAACAACATACACTTAATAAAAACTTTAATATAATAAATAACTACGAAAACACCTAGCTAAACTGGATTATGGTGAATCGCCTGAACGTAAGGCTGAGGCATTTGAGGATAAGCCACAGATTGAGGTGTATTACGGCTAACAGCATATCCTTGGACGGGANTTAATATAATAAATAACTACGAAAACACCTAGCTAAACTGGATTATGGTGAATCGCCTGAACGTAAGGCTGAGGCATTTGAGGATAAGCCACAGATTGAGGTGTATTACGGCTAACAGCATATCCTTGGACGGGAACGCTGTCCACAATAGCCGGTGCTATTTGTAGTGCCGGTGCGCTCAGGGCTTGCATCACAAACTGCGAGGGAAGGCCTATAGTGCCCGACACTATATCCCTACGCCTATTCTCATCAATAGTATTGCAATCCATAGCGAACTTGTAGGCCATGGCTGTAAGGGCTACCTTGGTCAATAGGCCCGGTATGTACACAACGGACAACACCACCAGGTATATCGTGCTGATAGTTGTCAGGGTCATCAGTATGGCAAATGTGATGGCCAGTCCAAAGTGCTCCTTGTATGTGGCTACTAGTCCTATAGAGGGCACCACTAGTATGATAATAATTACCACTACCAGTATCGCAATAAGGGTGCCCTAGTTACATTTTTGTAAAAATTTATATTATTATAGTAGCATAGATGCATAGATAATTGCATAAATTACCTGGACATCTCTCGGTGTGGCAATTATAGCAATGATCGCCACAATGAAGTAAACGACACCTATGATATAGCTAACCAGGCAAAACGCAAACAAGGTCCATTTAATGCATTTAAATTGAGATGTGTGCTGGATATCCATAGCTTTAAAAAAGTTTAACTTTTCTAACTACTAATAAAACTAATAAATTGTAAAATAAATATATAATTGTTAGAAATTTTTACCTATCTTATAAAAATAAAATAATATAACTAAGGTCAAATGTTAGGTAATAATGATGATACTTATTCAATATTACAGTTTATATTGAAATATTAATTTATAAAGATTTAATTTAGGAAGGCTATTGAATGACACCTAAGTCTATTAATTTTGGATTACTATAGAAACCACTTTACTGAATTATAAACATGATGTACCAGGTTGTTTAGAAAACTAGACATAAGGTTTTAAGTTAATAATAAATAAATCTTTTATATGGCATTCTTTAATAATATAATAAATAAATTTTTAATATAAGTTATTATATTATAAGTGAAATATTACTTTATAATACAAAATACTTATTATGCACAGTAATGAATAATAATTATTTATTGATAATTTATTACATATCATAATAAAAATAATAGTTAATTATTTTAAACACAGAAATAAATGAGTGTAAAGTTTGAATAGTAGGATATATAATACAACAAACTACATCTAACTGCTAAAGGTACAAATATGGCTAAAAGTACATCAAACTGTTAAAGGAGATTTAGATTTTTATATCTGACCTACAGAATGTGCATAAGTCATGCACCATGGTCATAATATAAGGGAAAACATGAAAAACGTATATTGAGTGCACCAAACAAATGATACTTGATACACATAATAATTTAAAATGCTTTACAAAAATTAGTTTAAAAAATAATCTGTCCACTAAATATTGAACTACTATTGCCAAGTGCACTTTGATTATAATGCTGAGCTGGTACTACAAAAACACCGTGGGGTAGACCTGGGTTAGCTTGGTTGTAAGCTTGCATCTCATATGTTTGTGTTGGTAATTGACTAATAACGGGATTGTTACTAGTAATGTTATCATTATTAATAATAGTAGGGATTGCGTTAAGCTTGCTCATTTGATACAACCTCACAGAAAAAGATAATGAAATTAAAGGAACTGCCACATTTATAAAAATTAATTGTTTAAACTCCTTATCATAAATATAGCCTACGCCAATATTAGCCAAAAGTATCACGGTCATAAATATGCCAAATATGAGCGGGTATATATAATTCTTTCTGAATGCTACAAATAATCCTGCAATAGGAACAATTAAGTAAACCAGGCAAAATACTACAATAATCGGTGTAGTTTTTAATTTCTGAAAAATAATATATAAGCTTAACATTTAGTATTTTATTAAAATTTCTTATCAAACTAACTTACCCTGGTTTCTGTTGCTTTTGACGTATGTACAAGTACCAAAAATGCAGCTATTGTCCAAATATAGTTGATAATAATGGACCCAATTAGTGTCCAGGTTAATTGTTTAAATGTCATTGGCGTCCTTGCTAATCGGCCCATGTTTTAATAATCTTAAAAATAGTTATACTTTCAGATTTAACTAATATAAGATATCAATAATATCAAATGAGATTGAAATGTTAATGTATAAAAAATATTTTTAGTAACACAATTATAACAACAAAACGTTTCTATAGTAATACAAAATTAATTAAATTCAATTATGTATGATTTTTATTCTGATTTTTATATTAAAAAAAATTCTGATTAGTTACTAATAAAGCTAAAAATAAATTATTTAAAATAAAAAACATTCTTAAAAATATTTTTTATTTAAAAAAATTTATTTATTTATTTTTTATAAGTTGTACCAAAAATCTGCTTGATATGTTAAATGGAAAAAATATTTTTATTTTAAACAATTGGTGACATAACATACATTCGTTTTAAAAATTAAATTTTATTAATTAGTACATTGATTATAATAAGGTTTTGTAAAATTATTATATTACAAGTTTTAATTTTTAGCAATAAATTGTATCTTAGGAAAAATATTTATAAATGATTTATACATTAATAACAATATTATTATATTGATAATTTATCATTTTAGCTGTTTTTACATTACAGTCTCATAAAAAGGAGGTAGTTCGTCATAGTCATCATTGAATACATAAATGCGACCAGGCACATTACAAAACATAAAGAAAATAGTAGCCATTTTTTGTTAAATGGTGTAGTTTGTCCAGGGTTCATATTTAAGTTTTATAAAAATATAAACTACTGTATAATACTACAAAATACTAATAATGATATTTAAGCTAAATAAGAAAATAAAAGTAAATGATTTCAAATATTTAATATTATTTTTATTAACAATAATGCTATGGAAACATAATATGAATCAAAATATCAAATAGAGGCCTATTTCTGAAACTGAGTAATGCATTGGTTTTCACATTTACAGGTAACATAATTTTCAAAAGAGTTTTAGTCATTAGTTTATTGAGTTAATGCAAACAATAGTGTAGTCTTGATTATAATTTGTTTACAATTTATAAATTGTCAAAATGGATGCAATATTTTATAATAAAGTTTTAAACAAATCTAATGGATATCCAAACAAATCGACACCAATTGAAGTTATTAACGAAGACTATAATGAAATGATTGGTCAAAAAGGCATTAAACGTAAATCACATCCAATTAATTGGAAACAAAATAAAAATAAATATTTAAAAAACTCGGTAAAAATGGTTATTATAAATTTAATATGAACTAAATATTAATTATAATTTATAAATTCATTATAATAGTATAATGATTACATGGATTCCAATGGCATTACTAAAAGTGGCAAGAATTTTAAATTTGTCGACAAATGCTGTGAAACTAAATGCTATCAAAAAATAGTATATAATACACAATTAAAATTGTTTATCGAGTAATATATTTAAATACTTAATTGTAACTTAATTTAACTAATCTATGGTCATTTTAAATAGATTCTGTACACTAATTTGTTGGACTTTTCAAAGTGAATATTTGTCTAAATGTATGGAAAAAGTGAATAACAAAACAAATGATACTGGTAAAACTATTTGGAAATATT